GCTTCTTAAAATGGTTGGCAAACATTTACCCTCTTATTATTTGCATAATATTTTGCATCCATCACATCGAAACTTCTTTATAATAAGTATGTAATTCAAAGTACACATTTATCATTCTAACCTAAATCTTTTTACGATAACTAATATATTCTTGCCTGTCTGATTTCGGGCAGATTTTTAGTTACTTTTTTACGAGTTTTCTGTTTTGCTTATGTGAAACCATAAATACACTTAAGCATTTTAGCTCGATTCGTTTGCTTTATTGGTAACTGCTTAAGATAACTCTGATTTTACTTTGGTGCAACTAATTCTAACCTGTGTTCCTCTCAAGGTTTGATGACAGGTGTTGTCGTTGATTCTGGTGATGGAGTCACTCATGTATGCCCTGTTTATCAATGTTATCCTCTACCCCATCTTACAAGACGACTTGATATTGCCGGAAGAGATATCACTCGATATCTTATTAAGGTAATTTATAACGAGTGGTTGACTTTTTAGAAAAAACTTTGATAGCGATTTGTATTTTATTATTGCCTTTTCCAAACAGTTAAAATTCAATGAATAGTATATGCCAGAATTTCTATCAACATCGTTTCACAATTTGTTTAAAAAGATTTAAACTTATACTAATACTTGTGCTTGAATTCAGATAAACTATTCATATTGCTTGACTTAATGTTCGCTTGCTGCTAGAATATATTGCACCTAACTCACCGCTTTAATTTATCATCAGCTACCCGCAAGTTATGAAGTCTTCATCGTCAATATAAATAAAACCATGACAACTTTCTTCCAGAGTAGTCGCACTCAGTTAAAGTATGCCGTGCTTTACTCATCCTTGCGGAGCTCTCCTGATGCTTTATGCATAGTATGCATTTGAATATACATCTATACGGCAGTACTTATGTTGAATTTGTTGCTTTATTCTAAAAATTTATCAGGGTCAAGCTTATAGACTGTTACAAAAAATAATAAGAGAAAATGTCAATATTGGACATCCAGCAGATCAACTTGCTATGATAATCTTACTCCCAGCTGCTTACATTGTGGTATCGTGGTCATTTTTGTTTTTACCTGCACATGCGAAAGGTCTCTTACAATGAATTAAGTTTATCACTTTTATTAGTGGGGTTTATAGTAGTATAAAACGAACACGTTTTTACTCATTTCTTTTAAGTTGCTTCTTCTTCGTGGATACGCTTTCAATCAGACGGCCGACTTTGAGACGATTCGGCAGATGAAGGAGCGTCTCTGCTATGTCGCCTATGACCTGGAACAGGAACAAAGTCTTGCCTTGGACACCACTGTTTTGGTGAAGAAGTACACTGTAAGGCTTTAGGCTTTGACTTATCGAGCTTTGTTCTAGTTGACTTATCATTTAGTATTACAAATGCTTAGGCCAGCTCATGGTTTATCCTATCTAAGGCAAATATTTTTTAAATCTATTTTATACAATAGCATATCGTAGTAATCCTTTTTCCTAAGTTATCTTCATCTACTAACCTACTGTGAGTTATTCTGGCGCAGTCAGCTTTGATATCAGATTGAGTAATATGCCCCACGTTCACTAAATAAT